GTCTGCCATACTGAAGGGAAAAGCGCCGGAATTCAAAAATTAGTTAGTTTGTTTCTTAAACAATAATAGAATAAAATAAATCAGGTTAAATCATACTACTCTGGTTTGGAAAATCATTTTTGTTTTAATAAAAAAGTAAATTTTTTTTAATGATTCGCATAATCCTAAAAAAGATTAGAAGATATCATAAGAACCTACAGGCACATCTGGGATTAACAAATCAAATAATTTGCAATACAATGGATAAATAAATTTTCTGTTGAATCTTGACACAAACGCTACTCCTCACAGAGCAATTTTTATAACATTACGTAAAAAAAAAAAAAAAAAATGAAAATGAAATCGTAAACTCTTTTGTAAAATATCGGGAAGAAATGTATTTTTTTTATGTATATAGAATGTTAAAGAATAAAAGTATACAAGTGAAAAGAAAAATGATATAATAACAAAGAAACGTAAAAAAAAAAAAATTTTTTTTACACAAATTATTATTATTGAAATATATATATATATATGTATGAGCAAAGGCCACGCACAACAAGAAATATACATACATATATATATATTATATATTATGATTATTTTGCATAAAAGCAATCTAATTTAATAAATAATATTTATTTGTCTACGTGATCTATTAGAAATGTTCCTTATGGAAATGGAATCTTATTCCATTAGAATTAGCATTCTTCGTATCAACTTTAAGATTTTTAGCCAAAGCGGAAGGACCACAATAATATACACCAACATTAGTTTCCAAATCTCTCTCTTTACCAGGTAAATATCTGCCAGTTTCAATAGCTTTCTTTAATTGTGAAAATATGTAAGAGAAATTTGGTCTACCGTAATGAGTGCGTGATTCCAAATCTGTCAATGGATCATATGATCCTGATACGTCATTTATAATGATATTTTGTATGGTGGATTCACGTAATTTTGATGTAAGATAAATATGGAATTTTAAAAATCCCACTTCGAATTGTTGATCTTCTAATGATTTTAAAAGTGATTGAAACCATTCAAATGATCCGGTGTCACGACAAATCCAAAAGAATTCTACACGTCGTAACTTTGAATGACCTTTGTTTTGTTGTTGATACCTAAGATGAACGAAAGAGGTTATTACCACTCTTCTATTAAAATCGCGGTCATTTTTTTTTAAAAAAAAAAAAGGTTAAAAAAGAACACTTACCAGATGTTCTTCAAGATTGAAGCAAAAGGAGTCACACCAATACCACAACCGATCAAAACTGCAATTTCGTTTTTGAAAACGTCTTCGGCGGGGGCACCAAAAGCACCATCAATACGAAGTAAAGGTAGGTCTTTTGGTATGGCGCCTTTTTCATTATTACAACCAAGTAATTCACCTAATGTATTTGTAAAATCACCAACTTGACGAACATGTACGGAGACATAAGGATCATCAGGGGCAGAGGTGATAGTGAAAGGATGCCATTGGAATGAAGAAATTTCAGGAACGTTTAAGAATAAATATTGACCAGCCTTGTACTTGAAGGATGGTTTTTGAAATTGAATTTCAATTGCCTTTGAAGGGTGATAAATAACTTTAGTGATTTTAGTGGTTTGACGAGATCTAACTTCTCTTAGGACACGTTCAAAGAAATAAATGATTCCACCCCAAATCGTCCAATGCCAAGAGAAATAACCTTTACAACGTTTTGGTTCGGTTGGCGTAGGTTTTGTCGATACGAAGCAACCAACCGCATGTGTATAAAGACATAACATAAAGAAGAAAGCCAAATGATGAGTGTACCAAAAAGTTTCAAAAGACTGTTGCCTCAAGGAACGATGAGCGGAGGTATACATTAAGGCCATTATAAGTAACATGAAATGACCGGTTATACCGCCAGGATGCGTATAATGAACAGCCCAAGCTTTTCCTATTCCTAATTCTTCAACCCTTATGAAGTTTATATAATGGGCAAAAGTATGAACCAAAGTCCAAAGTAACATGGAATATGCGCATTGACGATGGAACCAAAGATTTTCATCGAAAGGGATAAGATTATTTAAAAAGGTGAGACGTAAATATTTAATTATATTTCTACAAACTGGTAAAAGAATTAAGGCGCCGTCATAAGCTAAACATAGACCAGCCCCACGAGAAACTGTCACCGACAATCCGATCTTTGTAAGGTGAGCAAGCTCTGGGTCGTCCTTTTGCTTTATGAAGCCATAAACGAACAAGAATATATGACTACCAAACCAAAAAATCCAAAAAAACAAACGCTTTGGTGTAAATTCTCTTTCAATAAATGATTCGGCCATTTTCCGGAAATGACTTTTAATATATGCTCAGAAGGAAGAAAATATTTAAAAAGAATGAACGAAAATTTTTATGCGAAAATAAAGAGGGAAAAAAGGAAGGAAAGGTAGTTGAGAGGTTTTTTAAGGAAAAAGAGAAAAAATGTATGCATATAATTTTCGTTTATTTTTTTTTTTAATCTTTTTTTTTTTTTTTTTTAAAGTACCAAAAGTACTATCAAAGTACAGAAACGACCAATAATTAATATTACAAATGCAGTATTTATATGTAAAAATGAGAGAGGGGTAATAAAATTGTTTCTGGTTATAGTTTAGGAAAAAAAAAAGCAATGTAAAGGAAAATTCAAAATGTAACACATGATCTATTTTGGCTTAAGGTGATCTAATGAAGTCACTTATTATTTTTTCATGTCACCGAATAAATGTTTCAAACTTTATCTAATAATACAAATAATAATAATAATATATTTATTCCCCTTGTTACAAATCTTTACATTCTGCATTACTTTGATAAAATGTGCATTTGTGGAACCATGTTAAAAATGGTATGATGGAATTTCTGAAAAAAATAATGGTATTCAAATTAACTTGCGTAACGTTGCACTAGGTAATATTGATTTGAAACATACGCGTTTTCTTTTATATTATTATGGTGCATTTATTCGTATCTTCAATATTGAATACTTTGCCGGTAATCCTAACGTTTCCAAGGATATTTGAGGAGGGTTGGTTGGTTTTTGCAAAATAATGTTTCCTTTTTTGGACATCTGATGAATCATATCAAAATCGCAAAAATCCTTTTACCAAATAAAATTATTCCCTTTTTTTTTTTATTCAGGACATCCAGGTAATTACTGCGTCAACAATAAATATCAAATGAGACATATTTAACGTACGATTTATTTATTTTTTTTTTTTTTTGAATTAATAATAGATAAGAGATGTGAATTTTCTTCATCACACGATTTTAGATAATTAGTCTTTGGTGCATAATTTGTCTTTATACGGGTCGAGGGTTTTAATTGGTTTGGGTAATTTATAATGACAATCTGCCAATCTGAATATAATTTCCGGAAACATCCGGAATCGAGGTTTGTTGCTATCTGACAGATTTTTGTGGGTTTTTTTTTAGAATGTTCAAGTTCAAATCATTTAAGGTATTGACTCAAATTTATTTAATTCTTCTATAATAAGGAGACTTAAAGAATCTGAAAATCAAATTGCCTATTTTTTTTTTACGATGCTCATCCCGGAAACTCGCACAGATCGACTCAAACACACAAATAATTTACGTTTACTATTATTATCAATTTAATTGATTTTCTATTTCTTAATTCACTTAATAGGAAACGGTAAGTTCATTGGTTTTCTATAATTGGATAACTGATGAATCATTAGGTTTATGATTTCGGTCTATTTATATTGGTCGTAATTGAATACAAGAAAGATTTCTCGAAAAAAAAAATGTTACAAACAAAGATTGAAAAATTATTAGGTATCGAGTTGATTTTATGTAAGCTCGATTGTTAATTTCACGATCTGCTTTAAAAATTATACGTGTACTACATTTGACAAGAATAGGTATAATTCTTCTGGCAAAAGTTTATGAAACAGCAAACTGTAAGATTATGCTTGAGATAAGACATTACTAAATGAAGTGAATTTTTTTCAAGGAATTATTCGGAGAAAAAAAAAAGATTCATTTAAATACTTCATTGATGGATTTCTCCGTAGTTTTAGATTAAGTAGTATCATTGTGGAGAATTATGGCTACAAAGAATCAATCGCTGACTTGAGAATTAAACAATGATTTAGTTTCATTGATATATGAGCCTTTATTTCCGAATTCCTTTTTTTTTTTTTAACTCTTTATTTTCTTTCCTGTTAAGTAGCAGCACGTGCGTGACAATTTGACAAAATAAGATTGTTCCTAATTAAGTTTTTGATGCATAAATGAAAAATCCCAAAACTACTAAAAAAAAAATTTCTGAAGCGGAGAAACGTGTTATAATCAAGTTGTTCTTGCATAAAGACCGGTATCAAAGAAAGATTAATCTCATATTTTCATGTACCATAGATAAGTAGTTTCTTTAAATTTAATGCATATCAACTTAATTTATAATCACCTGATATAAATTTATCGGTGTCTTAAGGCATTATGACTTGTATGATTTTTACATAAGGATGATGTAATTAGCATCACGAGATTATTTACCTTGCTTGTAGGTTAATGACCCATTAGTAATTATTTAATGATGATCTGTAAAAATGTCATTTGGTCTGACATTTAGTTATTATCATACATATCATAATCTTGTCAAATACATCCATCGTAGTAAAAAAAAGTCGAGCAACCCTCAGCCATTGTTTCCTCTTGCGACCTTGACCCTTTTTCTCAAAAAATTTTTTAATTATTAAATAATTAAAAAAAAATACCCAAAGCCAATTCTCGACGGTAAGTTTATCAATCCTTTAGAACAACCATGATTTTCAGGGTTATTTTTTTTTTTAGGAAAAAAAAAAAAAAAAATAAAAAAAAAAAAAAAAAAAAAAACGCGTTGAGGTTACTTTCCATAACAGTCTCTCATATTGATCTTCCTTATTTTATTTTATTTCATTTTTTTTTTTTATTTTCATTTTTTTTTTTTTGCCCTTCTTTTCTTATCATTATTTATAACTGCGGGTAATATAATATTCAATAGAAAAAAAAAAAAATGGCTACAGATCAAGAAGTACCAACTTTTAAACTTGTCCTTGGTATGTATATATATATTTTTATTTATTAATCTGAACTTAAGGTTTTGTTTGATCTAACGTATTTGTTTCGACGCGGTTATATTTAAAAGTCGGTGACGGTGGTACCGGCAAGACAACTTTTGTCAAACGCCATTTGACTGGTGAATTTGAAAAGAAATATGTGGGTATGTATATAACTTACTTTTATGTCAAACGATCTTATTTTTTTGGGGTTGTAATCTATGTAAACACTTGTAACCTTTTTCAACTACAGCCACTCTTGGGGTTGAGGTCCATCCTTTAACTTTCCATACAAACTTTGGCCCTATTTGTTTCAACACATGGGACACTGCGGGACAGGAAAAGTTTGGTGGTCTCAGAGACGGTTATTACATTCAAGGGCAATGCGCCATCATCATGTTCGATGTAACATCAAGAATCACATACAAGAACGTTCCAAATTGGCACCGGGATCTAGTTCGTGTATGTGAGAATATTCCAATTGTCCTTTGTGGTAACAAAGTTGATATAAAGGTTAGTACATATAAGTGAATAGCACTATATTCCTGCGTTTTAAATTTTGTTTGATATTTGATTCATTTTTATTGGTTGTTTTGGTTCTTGTATTCATTAAATTCGTTTCATTATACTAAATTATGATTTGTCTTTGTAGGAGCGTAAAGTCAAAGCCAAAACTATTACCTTTCATCGTAAGAAAAATCTCCAATATTATGATATTTCCGCAAAGAGCAATTACAATTTCGAAAAACCGTTTTTGTGGTTAGCTCGTAAACTCATTGGGTAAGTTAATAATTAAAATTTCTTTTATTGATTTATCTTTATATATAATTTCTTTGATATTAATCTTATATATTTTTTTGATAGTAACCCAAATCTTGAGTTTGTCGCTTCCCCGGCCTTAGCACCACCTGAGGTTGACTTTACTCCGAAAGATGCAGAAACTTATGAACGAGAACTGGCAGAAGCAGCAGCTGCACCACTTCCCGGTACGAATTTATTTTATTTATTTATTTATTTTTCGTTATACAATGTTCAAGATTACTTCAATTATTCATCCTTGTCTCTTTTTTAAATATATAGAGGAAGATGAGGACCTTTAGATTAATCGTTTCAAAAATTATGCAATAGGGAAATGGGTTCAATTTTATACTCAAGTTATGATTTTATTTTATACATTTTATTTTTCAAAAAATTAAAAAAATTTTCTATAAAATTTTTGAATTCATGATTTTTATGAATTCATATTGAACTTTCCATATATCTGCAAGGCAGAAGAATAAGTTTGATTTTAATTGAACAATAGTGGCTGTCCTATAAGTTGATTTATTAATCAATCCATCCATCCTGTTCTTTAATTAGTAATTTTTAACTTTTGGATTTGAAAAATAAATCATTTTATCATTTTGTTGATGGTATTGGCGGGTTTTTTTTTTTTAAAAAAAAAAAGCTATTGGTTAAATGTCATTAAGTAAAACAAAAAAAAAAAAAAAAATCTCATTTCAACTGACTGAATTAAATTAAATTAGTTGATCATAAAATATTTAATTTTGCATCATTTAAATTAATTTGTTTAAAAAAATCTTTTTCTTTGCTTAATATATTTTTAGAGATTTGATTTTAAGTATTATTAACAAAAAAAAAAAAATAAATATAAATATTGATCCTTTTATAATATAACTAATTCATAAAAATTTATATTTATTAATAATAATAAAAATTAAATAAAATAATTTAAATAATATAAAGTAGAAATTTTTTTTATTAAAAATAATTATCAACCTTTAAATTTTATTATTTAAAAAACTGATTATATAATAATAAGATTTGTAATCAAATTAATTATATAAATTTTAATTACTTTTTTAAATATTAATGCTTATTAAAGTTTTACATATTATAAGTTGAATTGCTTATAAGCTAAATAAGCTAGTTCATTTAGGTTTAGTTCAAGTCACTATAAAATGAGCTAAAAATTAGATAAGCAGGTTTATGTTGTGATTTAATTTATAGTATAGCTCAGTTCATTGATTTGCATTTCTTCTTTAAAAAAACAAATACAAAAGTATTTTTCTTTAAAAAAAAGCTACTTTAGAAACTTTAAATATAAGTTATTATTAATTATTTAATAAATAATACCTAAGTATAATACATAGTGAGTATTCTAAAAATCTTTTACTTTTTATATATAGTATCTGTTTATATAATATAACCTAAGTACAGGCTATGTTCTCTGAAATTTATAAGATACCTAAGGTATTATGACTCATAATATACAGTATATTATAAAATATTAAAATCTTAATTTATAGTTACAAAAATAAAAACAGATAATTCTATAATAGTTTTATAGAAAAATTAAATTCTCATACAAAAACAAGTTTTTTTACACCTAAATCTGTCATTGAAAAAAATTATTCTTATACAATAAAATATGACATACAATTATCAACATCAACTAATTTATTAATACTAAATTCTAAAAATAAATATAGGTATTTATAATAAAAATTTTAGATATCTTAAAATCTTTATTATCATGAAATCAACAAATTGTCAATGATAATTAATAATAATCAAAAAGAATTAATAATAATAATGAATTTATTGATAATAATGAAGAATACATTGAGAATAATGATAATAATAATAGCAATAAAAAAAATAAAGATAATAATAAAAAAAATGATAACATATCAACAAGAATTTTAATTACAAAATAAAAGTTAAAAAAAAGAAAATCAAATAGATAGTATAAAATCAAAGCTGAATTTCTTTAAAAGAATTTAACTTTAAATATAAATGAAGGATAAAATATTTTAATAACAATCAAAACTTAATTAAAATTATAATAAATAGTATAACAAAGCTTTTTTAATATAATAAAAACTTAAACTGTTGAAACTATATTAAAATATAAAAAAAGATATGATAAAATTATTTTAAGAAAATTTCAATAGACATTTATATTTTTAAAATAATTTTCTTAAAAGATTTCACTTTTAGAGTAATTTTCTTGTAAAATAATTACTTGTGAAAAAAAAAATCTATAGAGCTAATATTAAATATAATATATAGAATAAAAAATAGAATTTTACTAACAGAAAAAATCTAAATTTTTAAAATTCTTAGTAAAAATTAAAAAGTGAAAAAATGAAATAGAAGGTAATACAAAATGCATCTTTTACAATACATAAAAGAAAATTTGTAGGATTTTACTTTTGAAGGATTTTTAATAAATTAAATAAACTAGCTTATAAGTTGATTTGACTTAATTTAGATTATAATTAATTATCTTGAATTAAACTAAATTAAAATAAAAGTGATTCAATCCTATAAATAATTTGCATATGTTTTTTCATTATTATAAATAAGTTTTGTATACATTTTTTAAAATTCCATAACACATTTTCTTATATTTTATAAGAAATTTTTTTTAGCATTTTTTTTTATAAAAAATAATATATAAGGAATTATTAATTAATAATATATAAAAATAATAATAAAAAATTATATTTTATTATATTGAAAATTATAAGGTTTTTACAATAAAATTATATGTTATTTAAAAATTAATATTTTTTGATCAATTTATACTGAAAATAAACAAATTAATAGATTTGTTATGCATTACAACTAAAAAATTTAAGTCTTTTACTGATATTTGATATAAATTGGATCTTTTACTCAAAATAAATGTAAAATACATTAGAAATATTTTTAATGCAAAGTATTAAGATTTGTAAATTTATGTAAATTTTACAGAATAAGGTTACTAATATTTATATTTAGCGTAGTACTTCATATTATTTACTAATTGTAATATTTAAGATTCATAATGTAATATCATGCTAGTTAAAGTATTAATTCTTAAATATTTTCTTTTCTCATATTTTAAATCTACACTTTGATAAAATATTTGCATACATTAGAAGATTTTATATATTAAAAATAGATTGAAAATTGAATATTGAGTCAAGTTTATTAAGTAGTATTAAAAAAGTAAATATTAGTTTTTAGACTTTCTTTTTTTCATCTTTGGTGGTGTTATAGGAAGATATTAATTCAAAAGATCATGTGACACATGTGACTAAAAAGGCATATTGACTGCATTACATTAAATGACAAAGACGGCGAAAACGAGAGAAATGAATTAAACAAAGATTACGCGAAAAACCCAGAAGTCGCCGGAAAATTCCATTATATTATTAATCATTTTGTATTATTAATCATTTATTATTTATAATC